CTATGTCGCATATACAACCCTAATGCTTTGGATATAAGTTTTCTCATGTTATACATGCAAATTTCAATTTTCCATAACATGAAGTCTATCTAGCATACAACTTGATATATGAATCATAAAAAACCTATTAGAAGATTACCTCTTGTTGTAGCTTGTTAAATTTGACCTTTCAAGAGCTTAGCACATCAATTGTGATGCCTAAAATGCTTCACAAAACACCACCAAAAATTGGAGGACTTGAGAGAGAGGTTAGGAACACACTAAAATCAGCTATACTCTTGCTATAATACTTGTGCGTCTGATTTTGGGTACAAAGGGGTTACATATATAGTGTTAGAATTGCAAGAGTCATATGTAACATTAATTCTTACACTTAGGCTTATGATCTATAACTCATATGGACTAACTCTTCATGGACTCTCATATAAACTTAGCCCATCATGGATCAATAGCCCAAACCATATGTATCACTAATTTACATAATCAGTCCCCGTTAATTTAATTAGTATCTTTTGATCACTAAATTAATTCCAAATTAATTATTGATCAATACTAATTAAATAATATGATTTCTTAATTAATATATTATACTTATAATATATTAGTAAATCATAAATAAACTCTTTCTCAAATATCCATCCTATCATATTGTATTGGTGAATGCAACCCAAATGGACCATGCTACTCTCGGGTCAAGTACATACCAATTAGAGTTATGGGCTTAGACACCTAATCCAACAGTTTCACATCAAGGTTTTGGAGGCGTCTACAAGAGGAATCGGGTACGAAGTTGTGTTTAAGTACAACTTACCATCCGCAGACCGATGGTCAAGTGAAAGAACGATTCAAACATTGGAGGATATGTTAAGAGCATGTACCTTGGAATTCCAAGGTAACCGGGATAAACATTTACCTATGGTAGAATTTTCCTACAATAATAGTTTCCATTCGCGCATCAAGATGGTACATTATTAAGCTTTGTATGGACAGAAGTATCGAACGACGTCATGTTGGCTTGAAGCTGGAGAAAAGCAGTTTATGGGACCCGAAATAGTCCATTAGACTGTTGAAAAGTTAAAGTGATTAGTGAAAGGATGTTAGCAGCTCAGGATCGTCAAAAGAGATATGCTGACAAGAAAAGACAACCGATGACATTCGCAGTTGGCGATTTGGTTTTGCTTAAAGTCTCACCGTTGAAGGGACTGATAAGATTTAGGAAAAGAGGAATGTTATGTCCAAGGTTTATTGGACTGAAAATCCGAGTTATAACGAAGAAGTTATGACCTGTCGAAGTTTCGCGACAGAGCCAACACGATGTTGTGTGATGTAAAAAGTGAATTTACGATAAAGTGTTTTTTAACCTTAGCGATCTAAACGAGAGTCGTAACATACGTTAAACAAAGAGCGTGCATAAAAAGAACGTCCAATATGACTTCATATGAGGAAGTTATGACTTTTCTAAGATTTGGAATAACAGTGTGCAGCCCAAAATTTGAATTTTAGATCCAACAATTTTTAGCTGACCCAACCTAAACGAGAATTGAAGATCTCATCAATAGTAGTTCAACGGTAAAAAAACAGACGAAAACGGACGTCGAATGAAGAAGTTATGAATTTTTAACGGAAATTTCCTGTCCAGGCCTGTTAAAAATATAAGACAAAACTTCAAAAATAGTCCCTGTGGTTTTCAAAAATATCAAGTTTAGTCCCTAAGTTCAAAAAACCTCACAGATGGTCCCTGTGGTTTCAAAACTTTTAACAAATGGTCCTTTTCGCTAACTCCGTTAACTTGTAACATCCGAAAAATACAACCAATTTAAATTTTTCAAAACAACCCGATTTTCATTAAATTGTTTACAAAAAGGTTTTCAATACAAATCATTTAGAGTATTCCCAGAATCACATTGCTACGAAATCATGAGGAGCGGTATGATCACGCCTTCGCCTTGCCACGGTCTCCTGAAGAACCTGAAAAACATTAAACCATAACTGTAAGCCCGAAAGCTTAGTGAGATACCCCCAAAATACCAACCACGTATACGCCCTTCCAGGCTACGACCTTCCGGTCCAAAACATATAAAACATACATAACATAACAGAACATAGAACAACCATGCATATCGGGTCTACTGTGTGACTGGTCCGCCGTATCGGGCCTTCAGTCCACCGGGTCCATCCTCCAGGTCTAGTCATGTCCTTCGAGTCTACAATGGGGTTGGTCCACCCGTATCAGGCCTTCAACCCACCTGGTCCACTCTCTGAGTCTATAGTGTGACTGGTCCGCCCGCATCGGGCCTGGTCCACTCTCCGAGCCTCGGCACGTCTGGTCTGCCCTCGTGGGGCCTACAGCCTATCCGGACCGCTCGCTGGGCCTTCGGAATAACCGGTCCGCCCTGGGTATTTTGGCCTACAGCACAAAGCAGGACCCGCCTCAACCCATCTCCAGTCCAAACAACCATGTGCACATAACATACAATCATATAACAGTCATAGTCAACAAACCGAGCAAGCAGATCACATAGCATATCAGTACCCTAGCCAGGTTACCGACCTAACCGGTCACTAGTATAGCATCACTCTATATATATCGGGAAACTGACCTTAACAAGGTCTCCTAGCACGTACAATCCTAGCTACCAGGATGCAGACACATCAAACAATAACATAATAACAATACCCGAATCTCAATCCAATAAAGGGCCGGCCTTGGTGCCTTAGACCCTGTTGATACAGTGAGGATAACTCACCTCGAAACTGCCGGCCGAAAGGATAAGATCCCGCTGCTCCGAACTCTGACACGAAGTCCTTCACTGAATCATCAAAACATTCAACTCAATATATATATATATATATATATATATATATATATATATATATATATATATATATATATACCCTTATTTACCAAAATACCCCTGGAAGACAACTGGTCAACCCCTGACTGACTCTACTCGCCAAGTCATCCCAATGACTCGCCGAGTCCCCAAGCTCAGAACTTCCCTCAATCCGCGACCTGACTCGCCGAGTCACCCCGAGACTCGCCGAGTCCAACCACTCTGAGTCCACTCGCACCCAATTCACCGAGCCATCCCTTGACTCACCGATTCATCGACTCAATCAGAAATATTGGGACTCTTCGATAAGACTCGCTGGGTCCAAGAACAGACTCGCTGAGTCTAAGGCTATCTTCAACCTACTCGCCGAGTTGTTCTTCGAACTCGTCGAGTTCCAAGCCATCTTCAAGTAACTCGTCGAGTCCACCCTTGTGACTCGTCGAGTACCACCGGTCTGAATCCATACAGAAGCATCTCAGGCCATGCAATTGATCCAAAACATAGATCTAGCCTCCTACAACCCATCCATCACGTTAAGTGGCAAACTTTACGTGAATCCATGAAGATCTAAGCATAATACACATTAGAACTAAGGTTTGGGAAATGGTAGCTCCATTAGCAACACAAGAACAGGGGGTTTAATGCTCTTAAGATCTTCCCCACCCCAGATCTGAGGTAGCAACCTCAGATCAATCCTTCAAACATCAAGATGCCACACAACTAGGCTCCCCACACAACCCCAAGATGAGAATCTAGGAAAACACAGCCCAAGAACGAAAATATTACCTCCAAAGGATGCCTGAACAACAATGAAACTCGAATCCAAGCAAAGCCCTTTGATCCAAGCCACTTCTCCTTCAAGATTTCTTCAACCAACACCTCTCCAAGCTCTAATTTGCTCAACAATGGGACTCTCCACGAAAATAGGGTTTCTGGGACTCAAGGGGGGATAAAGGAGGCTGTGGAGGAACATAATGATCTTTATATAGGGCTCAACCCCGAGAATTAGGGTTTTCTTCACACAACACCTACTCGACGAGTCCAAAGTCGCGAGTAAAGTCGCAACCTGACTCGCCGAGTCTATCCATGGACTCGCCAAGTCGCCCTCCGAAACTTACACTTTTAGCCCTTCAACTCTACTCTTGCGATTCCGGGATGTTACAATTTTAAGTGGGTTAGATCTGATACCACATCGGCTAGGAAGGAGAACTAAGCATTCCTTATAAGGGGTGTGGATACCTCACGTATCACAACACGTTTTAAAGTCGCGAGGGCAGCAGATCCCATAAGAACTCTGTAGTTAAGCGTGCTCGGGCGGGAGTAGTACCAGGATGGGTGACCCCTGGGAAGTCCTCGTGCCGAGTGGCCCAAAGCAGACAATATTGTGATACGTGCCAGAGAGGGATGTTACAAATGGTATCAAAGCTAGGGAACGGGTCGATGTGTTCGACGGGGACGTCGAACTCTATAATGGGGGGTGAAAGTGGGTTAGATCTGATCCCACATCGGCTGGGAAGGAGAACTAAGCATTCCTTATAAGGGGTGTGGATACCTCACCTATCACAACGCGTTTTAAAGTCGTGAGGGCAGCAGATCCCATAAGAACTTTGTAGTTAAGCGTGCTCGGGCGGGAGTAGTACCAGGATGGGTGACCCCCTGGGAAGTCCTCGTGCTGAGTGGCCCAAAGTGGACAATATTGTGATACGTGCCAGAGAGAGATGTTACATAACTTGTGACTGTTAAGTGAAGGGTATTTCAGTCATTTCACAACCACAGGGACCATTTATGAAGTTTTGCCTTAATTTAAAAAAAATAAAAAATAATTATAATTATGTAATATTAAAGGGCCCCTCTCTCTCTCTCTCACATACACTCTCTGTTCTTCGATAGGCAACCAAAAACACCTCCATTGGATGTGGTGTTCTTGTGGTTCTCCGGTAAACAGAGGAGCAGCAGCCCCTCATCCCTCCTTTAATTCTTCATTTTTCTGTCAAGCAAAGCAACAAGACACCCCTAAAATTCAATGTGCAGCGCTTTCCAATATAAATTGACACGACAGAAAGGGAAAAAAACAGTAGCATAAAACCCCTTCTCGTTAACGGAGATGCCATTTCTTAGCTCGTCTATGCTCACAGAAGCTCGACCACGGCGATAAGAGTAAACCCGTTAAGTTTGATCCTCTGAAGGGATATATATTTGTTTGGCTGTAACTATAAAATACTGGATTTTGAAGATAATATTTACGTGTAAGGCACTTGTCACTGACGGAATAGCTGCTTCACTCATTGTTCCCTCGGCCTCCATATACAAAACCATCAAAGATTGATAGCATTTTCAAAGGAAATTGGATGATTATGATAAATATGCAAGAAAATTTAGCTAAATGTTGTTATGAATCCAAGATGAAGTTATTACAGATACTCATCTCGTCTCTATTACTCTATCCATTGTGTTCAATTGCAATTGAATTTCAGTATCTATAAAAAGATACTTTTATTCGAAGAAGAAGCTAAATATGTTCGTCATATTTTCCACTTTGAACCAAAATCAAACAGTTGGAGGGCATTCAAGATTCGGTCAGTAAACATGTGGCATATCTTACGCATTGCAGAATTTGATGCTTCTTGTTGTAAATTTTAGGAACAAAGGCACGAAAATAGGAAAGTACCTGAAAGAACATGGTGAGGATATCGGAAGGAGAAACTGGAACAGAAACGGTTGCCTCGACTTCTCCTTGGTTGCTGATGGTGTCTTCTTGTTGTTCGGGAATTACTGTATCTTCAGCAACAGATCTTATCTTCTTCAAATTTGACAAATTTGTCTTGGATACCGATGAATTAGGGTCAGAATTGGGAATGCTAAAACAAACACGGGCCACCCGAAGTCGATTGGATAAAGAACATGAGAAAGTGCTAGTAGAAATAGAAGTGGGAAACAGGGAAGTAGGGTTTTTATTGGGTTTGATAGCTGTGAAACAAGATATGGAGGGAGATGCAGAAAAAGATGCCATTTCTGATGCTTTTTCTTCTTCAAAACTGAATTAATGGAGAACCGCTGTTGGGGGAGTAGAGAAAAAGGACCTGAGTTGATATCACCCTATCCAGTATCCACTTCCATGAAGAGTTATCATCGAACAAACTTGTAGACACGGTACAACAAAAGTTCTGCACAGTACAACTGGTTAGGTTTTACCCATGACCCATGTACAACTGGGTTTATCTGAAGATCACCGAAATCGTGTCGACAAGAAGAGAGAGAGAGAGAGAGAGAGAGAGAGGGGGACCCAAGCATATTAAATTTTATTTATTCTATTTAAAAAAAAGTAATAGAAAACGTCATAAATGGTCCCTGTGTAGTGAAATGCCAAATATGCCTGTGACTTAACGGCTAAATGGTAACGGAGTTAGCCGAAAGGACCAAATGTTAAAAGTTTTGAAACCACAGGGACGATCCGTGAGGTTTTTTGAACTTAGGGACTAAACTTGATATTTTCAAAAACCACAGGGACCATTTTTGAAGTTTTGTCAAAATATAATTTTTAAAACAAATTCAAAATTAGCCGAAGGAGTCAAAATGAATGGTGTAGAGCACGTTCTTACCTACACATAGATATAAAGAACATCGAAAACGGAGCTCGTATACGAAATTTATGAATTTTTGAAGTTTGAGGCACACATTTCGAAGCTTATCCGAAGAGAATGCCTTGTGTGTGAGGGTATGCTAAACGTACTGAAGTACACCCCTGCATAGGAAGCACGTACCCCCCGTGGTCTCACATTACTCGGTCCAGAAGCGGCCATGTTGCTCATTCACATGGTTGACACGTCCGAGCCTCGCACACTACACCCCGCTTCTCCACGCCGCGTACGAAGGTATGCCCTGCATAGCCACCGACCTCTCAGACTATAAAAGGGCTGTGAGGGAAGCTCATTTACTTTACACATTTCACACTTCTTTCATTCTCTACTCTCTCTCTCTCTCTCTCTCTCTAGCCACTCTAAACCAAACCAAAGCCTAGGAAACCTCCCTAGCACTAGAAGAAAGCCCCTGAGCACCTGAAGTCTCCGAGAAAATGATTTTTTTGGTTTGAAACTCTGCCCCCAAAGAGCCTGGTTTTAAGCAAACCTCCCGGTTTTATTAAAAAATATTGTTTTAAGAAACAAAGTGTTGTCCGAATCACAACCTTATCAAGTGAGTGTATAGTCATTTTCATCTTACACATAGCTATGAAGTATTTTATATAAATTATGTATAAATTATGTCCTATGAGTACATATATTGTTTGTTTATGTGAGATCTATGCTATATGAAAGTTTTAAACTTCGTTTTTTCAGATCTGAACCGTATATGTATTTTATATCTACAAAAATGTTGGGTAAAACATGGGTAGACAAAATAGTTGATGTATGATGAAATAAAATGATGAGAGGCCTCGATGTTGATGATGTTCCAGTCATCTGGCGGAGTATAGATGACGACCACAGACTTTCCTAGAAAGTCTAGTGGAACACTAGCGGGCTTGCAACATGTAGGTGTTTTTGAACAATGTTTTCACCGGTGTACTCCATCCCCCTCATGGTTTCCTTATGAAAATTTATGGCCGAGGAATCCCCTCAGTAATAGTGTCTACCACGATGATGATCCTTAGGCTAGGTCCCTTTTATTAGATGCTTTAAGGACGTAAAGTGAGAATAACAGGAGCGAGTAATCAAGTTTGTTTGGTTTGATGAAATTAATAAACTTATTTATGGTGGGTTGAAAACCCTATATGCTCACCACTCAATTTCTTGTATTACAGGTAGCGGCAAGAGCATAGTTGGATGATCTGACAAGAGATTATGAATTTATAGGCCATTCGGAAATATATAGACTGTTGTAAAGGCCTATATTGTATTCAAGGCCAATTTATTCTTATGGATTATGATGTTTTATTTATGATTATGATCTGTATTGGTGTTGACATTCCGAGTTTGTAATATAATGAAAGTACATTTCTTTAAGAAACGCTTTGATTAATTTCATATTTTGTTTTTGGAAAAAATTCCACAACACTTTTCTTTGAAAGATTACTCTGGTTTTTTTATAAAAGAAAAAATGAAATTGGTCTTTTCTGGTCGTGAAATTGGGGATGTCACAACGTGGCAGCGTAGGAATACACCACGTGATAGCTGGAGACCCAACACCCTTACTTAACTAACGATGATGTGGCACCTCTAGAATGATAACATGTGGTATGACACAACATGCTTTTCATGAATCACTATAAACATGCCATTTTCGTACTTCCTTTTCACACCATTCTGTCTCAGGAATTTCTCTCACCCTTGAGTATTTTGGTCACTTGTGATTTGACTTCTCGTTCTTTAGTTTCAATAGTATATGTAGCGAAGCCATGTAGGTTTTAGAAAGATATAATAAATAAGCATCGGAGTGGTGTTCGTGGATATTTGGAGTGCATCAATCTGGTAAGTTACACTTTCAATTAAGTATAACTGATATGAAGAATAATCGTTGTCGTTATTATGATGTATTAGAGTAATAATTAATCCAAGTTATTATACCGATTGATCTACTTACAGGTGTGGTGCGTAGGATAGACACGTTGACAAGATTTTTGGATTTCAGAAAAGCTATATACCAAAATTGTCCTACCTCCTGACTGTCATGAATAGCTAATCCTTATTTCATAGTTATTTAGTGATATCGGGATTAGTGAAGGATTTATCTTTTGTTATCATATTTCCATATATATATATATATATATATATATATATATATATATATATATATATATATATATATATATATATAGTATTATAGGTTAATACGTGTTTGGCACGCCTATTCTCCAGCTGGATACCTATTAGTCGTCTGAAAAATTTTTGGGGTGAGTTATCTCACTATACTATATGTTATAGTATATATCATATGTATGTTAGGATGTAGATATGTCGTAGTATTTTGTTAATAAAATAGAGTAGCTTTGTGTATTGTTTGTTATTATTATACCATTAATATGTGTGTTATATCATGTTGTGAATTAAGGGTGGTTCAACCATGAGCTGAAGGCTAAGGTACTCGGGGCGGAACAACTTTACATTGAATGCCATTATTTGTATGTGCAGAATAGAAAATTCTTATGTATGATTGATTGATAGTATATACAGTTTCCTTGTATGTATATATAAGGAGTTGATAGCAAAACAACTATAGGTCATGGTCTATAGACTCGTGTTCATGATGGAATGACGATATGCTTTGAGATTACAAATACACACATTATTGGTAGGATGATGAAAGGTCATGCATCCAATATTTGTATTGTGATATATGGTATCTTGGAGAGCTTAATAAGCCTTGTATTACAATTGTTGATTAACTATGTTGCAGATACTTCTTTAGATCGTAGCAAAGGCAAGGCTTGACTATACACGCACATTGACATCATGTTTTAGTTTTTTGCATGTTCTATTTATACTCTTATTGGAATCCTTAATACTATGTATTGACAATGATTGAAAAAAATGAATTTTTATATTTCCTTTAGAAATTATACCTTACAACCTATAGGAAAATGAGTTTTTATATTACTATTGGGAACGAGTATTATCTGCATACTCTACTTTAATAATGAAAATTTATTTATGGAAATTAGGATGTTATGTAAGCATCTTTAGAATGCCATGTAGCTTCACAATATAAACAAAGTATCGAAGAACCACCTGAATCGCATCAAATGTCTTGGAGTAGGAAAAATGAGCTATGTTCGAAAATCGCTCAATCACCACCATAACTTAATCCTTCTATTGCTGAGTACAGGGCAGACCGAAGACAATGTCCAAACTGACATCTTCCCATAAAGATATGGGTACATGACGGGAAGAGGAGTGTATAACTCAACATTCCTTCCATGACTTTTAGTCAAATGACAAAAATGATGCCTTGTGATTTCCTTATTAACATATTTGTCCATATGAGGCCAATAAAACCAGGCACAAATCAATACCAAGGTTTTATCACCACCAAAATGTCCAACAAGTCCACCATCATAAATCTCGAGTATAATGGCATCTGAAAACAAGCTAAGGGGAATATAAAGCCGAGTCCCTTAAAAAAGGTACCCATCGCATGTAGAAAACTCCTTATAGGTTCCTGAACCACAATTTTTCTATTTTTCATGAAAATCAGGAACATTCAGGTACTAACTACAAAAGCCCTCGAATCCTAACATGCGCATCTGCATGTCGTAACCCATAAATTTCATCGTCTTAAAGTGTTAGCAACCTACTTTTGCGACCAGACTTTATGTGTCACACCCCGAAAACCGAAGGCGGAAACATTTCTGGGGCGGACTCCACGTTATGTATCAAATCCAATGCACATAGTAAGTAAAGTAAACAACCATTACATTACATATAGAATTTACATTTGTTTCAAAAGTTGTACAAGTCATATACATATGCATCATATTAACAAAAGTAAAGACGAGGTCTTCAGTACGCTCTGTCTTCTCCAAAAGGATTGTTGGGTACCTGTCTATCGCTGACCTGAGAATACAAGCGGTTTGAAAATCAACATAAAGCTGGTGAGTTCATAAGATGTTTGTTTTCTGAAATTGTACTAGTTTCCTTTAGTTTACCAAAGAGATTTTTATCTAAGAAAATCCCATATTTTCTTATGTACAGTTAGTTTAGTTATCACTTGTTACCAATTCGTTTATGTGTTGTATTTTACCCCAGGAAAATCCCATATTTTCCAAAATGTAAGACTGGTTGTATATTACAGAGTATAATTTAATACATAAAACTATATATTGAGAATCATGAGATTACTATCCCGAACTAGATATAAGTTAGTTCAATATACGTGAATTATAGATGGAAAGTAGTTTGAAAACCATGGGACTCACATCCCGTACTAAGTACAAGATAGTTTGATATACATGAAAATATAGGTTGAAAACCATGGGACTACCGTCCCGTACTAGATATAATATATTTTGATATTCAT